TTTTTTTTTTTTTTTTTTCTTGTTCACCATCAATCTTTTTCTCAACAACAACAACATTTGTGTCGGCATCGTCCTTTTTTTCTGTTTTTTTCTTGCGAAAATATCTGCATAGTTCCTTTTTTTTTTTCTTATATTCCCTGTTAGGACCTTCTTTTTCATTGCTTTAGTTTTGCATCGCACAACAGACGGCTATTGTTGTTGCAGTTGCTGCTGCAGTTGCAGTTATCACACCGTAGTGTAACCGTGTAAAAGAAAATAAAACATTTTTTTAATGATTTGTTTAGAGATGAAATAAAACTATAGGAAAAAATAAAAAAAAATAAAAAAGAAAAAAGAAAAACCGACAATAAAAAAATAAGATGTTTTACCGGTTAAAATTTATTTTTTTTTTTTCTATTTACTTATTTTACTTTTTTTATTTGTTTATTTTGTTGATCTCGGTATCTGTTTTTTTTTCTCTCAACAAAAATAAAAAATGAACAGGAAAACAGAAAATAAAAAAAAAAAATATGCAAAAATCTACTCCATCCCTCGCCTCTCTCAAAACAAAAAATATTAGACGGAAAAGGCTTAAGAAATAAAACAGATTAAAACGTTAAATTTTGCAACAGTTAAGCAAAGTACTGTCAGAATTAAAGACCTTTCAACTCTCTCCCCCCCTCCCCCTTTTTTTTTCATTCATTTGAACAACGACTTAATCAAAGAAATTCAAAAATCCATAGAAGTGATATACCTCAACTGGTAGGTCATCGTTCATCCGGGAAAGAATTTCGTGTGATCGAATTGAGCTAACACTAGCTGCCATAGCTCGTTCTAAGTCATCATCATCGATCTCCTAAATTGTTGCTGTTTTATCTGCGTGTATGTATAATAATAAGATTTTCCATTAAAGGGAGTTTTTTTGCACTCCAATTACTAGAAGTTCAAATAATAGTTTAAAAAAAGTTCAAAACACCGATTTAAAACTTTTTTCTTCAACGAACATTGTCCGATGAACTTTTGCCGGAAGTGGATGCAAAATTTTTTTCCAAACTAAGGATGCTAAGTGGATGTTCCAGCTGACTGTCGATAAGCCGTTCTTCGCACTGCAAATTCTCCAAAAATTGATCAATTGAAGAGAAGTCTTTGCACGGTGAAAACGATTCCTCGTCATCTTCGATGATGTCATCCAGTGGCCGATGTTGTGAAAAGTATTGCTTCATTTCATTATCCATTTCAGTATCATTACACTGTATCTCCACAGAAACCTGGACAAGTACTGTAGTTGTTTTCAGCTTGGTGAAATAATATTTCTCAAGGAAATACTGATTGGAAAAATGCGGAAAATGAAGCAGAAAGCAACAGTTTTCCGAGTCCAATTTTAAAAACAAATTATGGCATATAACCTTTGCTGGGCAGTGCAGTTCAGTGTTTGAACCTTCCATCCATCGCATTATCATATTTCTCTTATCTTTGTCGATACTACGGGCAGCAGCAGCAGCAGCAGCAGTAGCTTTTGTTGCAGTCTTTGTAGTATCTGTTCTTAAACGAAAAGAATGAATATGCTGTTATTCGTCTTCTGTTTCACATGAATGTCCCGATATTTATGCAGAAATGTTAAGAGCATAATTTATGACACGGAAACTGAATTAATTTACCTAACAGATGGACCAAGATAAATAACTGTTTCTGCACAAGACTGTTCCGAACTTGAATTTGCTTCACTATCAGTGTTCATGCGTCGTCTAATTGAACCAAGCGAAGAGTTATCGCTTCCGATCTATAACTTTTAATTTTGCTTGTAACCATAAACATCCTTATAACTCTTTTCTTCTTCTTCTTCTTCTTCAGAAAAAGCTCATAGACCTTCAAATGCACATCATCTTAACATACTCTTGAACTTTTCCTTGGTTTTGCAGCACGTTGCACTTTTAGCATCATTTGTATGATATTATCGTTCTCTGCGCTACGATCAGAAAGCGAAGAAAACAATAATGTAGCCTTGGAACGAACTTTTTGTAGCGAATCTTTTAACAGCATACACAACAGATTTTGACTGAAATAACGCAGAACATGAAACTGCAAGAAAAAAGAATAAAAAAATTTTTTGACTAACTGGCCATGAGATCCAAAAAGGAAAAAAAAAATTTACCGGCTCGGCAAATGTCTTTGGCCTTGGAATAGTGCAACTAAGAGATTAGTAATTACAGGCATAGTCAAGGCTTGAGAATCACACTTGGAATTTTTTTCTCCTAGACCCAAATCTACCAAACAAAACCGCGACCGTCCACCAACAACCTGTGTTCCATTGGTTTTATACCTATAATGCGATTAAACGTTGTAAGACTTGAACAAGTATAAATTTTATTCAGTTTTCAGGCAACTAGTAGACAGTTACGTACTGCAGACCTGTAAAGATTAATGTAGAAGAACACGTGCGAGCATCGTTGTTCATTTTCATCCTCTGAAAAATAAATTTACTTAACTTTTGCTATACATTATTTTGGTTGCTGCTCTTTCCAATAACGTGGCGCTGTTTCCAGCAGATGAGAAGTACGGTAACAGTGATGACATACAAAAATACCCATATGTTTACCTGATTTCCGAGCACGCATGATCTCATCCATAAACCGTATCGCCTGTTCCGCGCTGTCGACACGAACTTCACGTTGGTTTTCAATTCGTATACCCAACGCAGAGTCCTCATAAACGGTGACCTCAGGTCTTGTACCTAAAAACTGCTCACTTAAACCTGACAATGACTAAACACCCAATCAAAAAAATTTTTCATAAACACCATGATAAATAAATCAGAATAATTTATAACAATGTCTTTTTCTTTTTTCTAAATTAGACTTATGATCAGGTGCCTAAACGGTAATTTTTTCTGCTGTTTCCTCTGGTCTTCCTTATATCCTAGTTTTTAAATCATTAACAAAAAAAACTGTTTCATATTAAAGTCTTTGTATTTTTTGTTTTTATATATTGTATGTTTTAATATTTTGTTTATTATCAATTGCTCTGAAAAATTCAAATGAAACTTATGCATTAGAGCAGATTAGCATAGTGAAGAAATGTTTTTTTTGCCTCATATGTCAACAATCATAAGAAGTGTTAGCTACTAAAAGCAATAAAATTTTCGCATTTAACAAAATGGTCTTTTTTTCTTTTGTCTAAATTGCTATATTTACTTTCAAAATTAGTGGTTCTTTTTTTGCATATATTTCAAATTAGAAATTACACCAATTTCTTACTCAATATTTGTTTTTTTTTTTTTTTTTTATTCTGGTTGGCAACTGAAAGATGAAAATTTGTAGCATATAAAAAAGCAATCAAATAAGACAATCCATGGAAAATGTTTATACGTATTTATTTGACAAGAGAACCCTAAGCATGTTGGTTGTCGAGCAACAAAGGAAAGACAAGTGTCTTTAAACCTAAAACGGCAGCATCACATTGCCATCTTATCTTGCTTGTCTCGCTTTTCTTGATTATTTACAGTTTTAAATAAACTGTTCCTTCAAAGACTAACCTAAGCAAGCGTTCTA